GTGCAAAAATGGAGGCTCTAGCCCCTTCCAGAGCTGAGATATCGAAACTCAAAAATTCGGCCCGAAAAAAAAAACGACAGTGGTACCCCTTACGTTTTTTTTTTTGGCGAAAAATTAAGTTTCTCCAATCTTCCCAAAACTCTGGATTCTGATAGAGGGCCATGAGACTTAGACCTGAGTGCAAAAATGGAGGCTCTAGCCCCTTCCAGAGCTGAGATATCGAAACTCAAAAATTCGGCCCGAAAAAAAAACGACAGTGGTACCCCTTACGTTTTTTTTTTTGGGCGAAAAATTAAGTTTCTCCAATCTTCCCAAAACTCTGGATTCTGATAGAGGGCCATGAGACTTAGACCTGAGTGCAAAAATGGAGGCTCTAGCCCCTTCCAGAGCTGAGATATCGAAACTCAAAAATTCGGCCCGAAAAAAAAACGACAGTGGTACCCCTTACGTTTTTTTTTTTTGGCGAAAAATTAAGTTTCTCCAATCTTCCCAAAACTCTGGATTCTGATAGAGGGCCATGAGACTTAGACCTGAGTGCAAAAATGGAGGCTCTAGCCCCTTCCAGAGCTGAGATATCGAAACTCAAAAATTCGGCCCGAAAAAAAAACGACAGTGGTACCCCTTACGTTTTTTTTTTTGGGCGAAAAATTAAGTTTCTCCAATCTTCCCAAAACTCTGGATTCTGATAGAGGGCCATGAGACTTAGACCTGAGTGCAAAAATGGAGGCTCTAGCCCCTTCCAGAGCTGAGATATCGAAACTCAAAAATTCGGCCCGAAAAAAAAACGACAGTGGTACCCCTTACGTTTTTTTTTTTGGGCGAAAAATTAAGTTTCTCCAATCTTCCCAAAACTCTGGATTCTGATAGAGGGCCATGAGACTTAGACCTGAGTGCAAAAATGGAGGCTCTAGCCCCTTCCAGAGCTGAGATATCGAAACTCAAAAATTGGGCCCGAAAAAAAAACGACAGTGGTACCCCTTTCGTTTTTTTTTTTTGGGCGAAAAAATAAGTTTCTCCAATCTTCTTGAAACTCTGGATTCTGATAGAGGGCCATAAGACTTAGACTTGAGTGCAAAAATGGAGGCTCTAGCCCCTTCCAGAGCTGAGATATTGAGATCCCACATAGCATTTATGCCATTATAAATATCTCAATATCTAGGGTCTAGAGCCTCCATTTTTGCACTCAGGTCTGTGAGAGCCAGAAATATTGCTGGTTTGTGGGTGACCATACATACCGTACATATTTTCCACCATAATTTCCAAATAAATTCTTTAAAAATCCTACAATGTGATTTCTTGGATTTTTTTTTCACTTTGTCTCTCATAGTTGAATTGTACCTCTGATGAAAATTACAGACCTCTCTCATCATTCTAAGTAGGAGAACTTGCACAATCAGTGGCTGACTAAATACTTTTTGGCCCCGCTGTATATGATCCATTTATGTATAGAGAATCCTTGTCTCTTTATGAACGATGCACGTTGTTCTATAGATAATCTTTTCGTATTTCCATATCTGTAAATGTAATAACTCATAACAGCAGCTGCAAACACTGGCTATTAGTGGAGCAAGTAGATGCAAACTTTCCAATTCTTGGTTAGATTGATTGCATTATGAATACCATGTTTGTGCAATTCTTGTTTTTTAAATAGAGGATAACTAATGCCTTATTAACTCTGTGTTCTGTTGGTCAGATGGGTAAAGGGTCGTTCCTGGCCGGCAAGAGCTTCACCATGGCGGACGTCGTTTGTTTCCCAGTTATCGCCTATTTCCCACGATTTCAGTGAGTGAAACCATTATCAATCCTCCTTACACAGCATTATTAATCAGGTTAAGGTTTGGATCTGAGGCTGGCTTAGGGATAGTTTAACCAAATATGAGAATTAGCCCATGATTTAATCTCCCTCGATCCATCCTAGATGTATATTACATTCTTCTCTCAGACGAACACAATCAGAGTTATATTAAACTCTTCCAAACTTTATAATGGCAGTGGATGGCTATATTTTTTGATTCCATTAAAGTGCTTCTACCCATGATAAAAGCATTTATGACATGATAAAAGGATGCACTTTTATGATGGATAATTTTCATATTTGGGTGAACTATCCCTTTAATGTTTGATGTGTTCGACTGGTTTAATGATGTTTGATGTGTTCTACTGGTTTAATGATGTTTGATGTGTTCTACTGGTTTAATGTTTGATGTGTTCGACTGGTTTAATGTTCTACTAGTTTAATGATGTTTGATGTGTTTGACTGGTTTAATGATGTTTGATGTGTTCGACTGGTTTAATGATGTTTGATGTGTTCGCCTGGTTTAATGTTTGACTGGTTTAATGTTTGATGTGTTTGACTGGTTTAATGTTCGACTGGTTTAATGTTTGATGTGTTCGACTGGTTTAATGATGTTTGATGTGTTCGACTGGTTTAATGTTTGATGTGTTTGACTGGTTTAATGTTCGACTGGTTTAATGTTCGACTGGTTTAATGATGTTTGATGTGTTTGACTGGTTTAATGTTCGACTGGTTTAATGATGTTTGATGTGTTTGACTGGTTTAATGTTCGACTGGTTTAATGTTTGACTGGTTTAATGATGTTTGATGTGTTCGACTGGTTTAATGTTTGACTGGTTTATTGTTTGATGTGTTCAAACTGGTTTAATGTTTGATGTGTTCGACTGGTTTAATGATGTTTGATGTGTTCGACTGGTTTAATGTTTGACTGGTTTAATGTTTGATGTGTTCGACTGGTTTAATGTTTGACTGGTTTAATGTTTGATGTGTTCGACTGGTTTAATGTTCGACTGGTTTAATGATGTTTGATGTGTTTGACTGGTTTAATGTTTGATGTGTTCGACTGGTTTAATGATGTATGATGTGTTTGACTGGTTTAATGTTCGACTGGTTTAATTTATTTTTGATGTGTTCGACTGGTTTAATGTTCGACTGGTTTAATGTTCGACTGGTTTAATGATGTTTGATGTGTTCGACTGGTTTAATGTTCGACTGGTTTAATGTTCGACTGGTTTAATGATGTTTGATGTGTTTGACTGGTTTAATGTTCGACTGGTTTAATGTTTGATGTGTTCGACTGGTTTAATGATGTTTGATGTGTTCGACTGGTTAAATGTTTGACTGGTTTAATGATGTTTGATGTGTTCGACTGGTTTAATGTTCGACTGGTTTAATGATGTTTGATGTGTTCGACTGGTTTAATGTTCGACTGGTTTAATGATGTTTGATGTGTTCGACTGGTTAACAGCTGTCCTAAAGAGAGATGTCCCAGACTGATGGAATATTATGAGATGGTGAAGGAGCGTCCCAGTATTAAGGCCAGCTGGCCTCCACACTGGCTGGAGAAACCCGAGGGTCAGGACACACTGAAGAACCTGTGAGGAACATCGAGACGTTCAGCGGATCACATTAATATTGCATTAATAAGTTCAGCTTTGATGTATTCAGTAATTGCCTTTTGATTTTCTAACGGTCGTTTATGCAAGAATCAGTTCCCACCTACAACTGTTAAATCTCAGCTCGTGTCTCTGTCTTTCATTTGTCTGACGGTCTCAGCTTGTGTTCTGTCACGTGTCCTCGTTCCCGCCGCCGCTCGATCCGTGCACTTTGAACCGTTTCTAAAGATGAAGCTCATTGTTATTGTCTGTAATGGCAGATTAGCATATTGTTTGGGATTAATAAAGTTTTATCTTGTTCAATCAAACTGAGGAAATTATTTACCATCATTACAAGAAATGGATTTTGTGCTAAGAACCATTTTTTAACTTTGAAATGGTCTTTTTTGTTGACTTTTAGCATGTTTAGCAGACTTACCGTGTTCTCAATGGCATCCGCTGTATACATCACTTCTCAAGGCGAGTGTGTGCTGACTCCATCAGTTCTTTGTGGATTTTCAGGAATAACATTTAAGGGACATTTTATGTCAGATTTCGTTAGTGCTTTGAAATTCAATATTTCAACAAGTTTTTAAGATTTCCCCTTATTGGATATTGTGGATGCCCGAGACTTTCCTTTATAAGGGACTGTGATAGCGCCTACTATTAACCAGCTAACAGGCTTTTACGATAGTATTGTTAACAGTTAAAATTGCAATCATTTTTAAAATGAACAAATCATTAAAACAAAATGAAAAATAACAAATAAACATCTTCGTATGAATGCATTTATGTATTGAAGGACATTATCTCAATAACATGATCAGAAACACTGACGGCGTACTTCAGCAAGGGTTTATTGCCGGCGGTGAACGTGTGCGGATCCAAGTGGACAACTGTTACAAGGCTTTCAACTATTAAACATCACAGACGAGTGAAATAACAGTTTCTGTTCAAACACTGTAAACTAAACACTAATTTTGAGATCTGAGCACGTCTTCTAAAACACATACAGAAAATCATCAATCTACAAAAAAACAAAAGGACAACAACATTTTTTACAGTCTCATTCATAGTCAAAAAATAGTTTCTCCATTCTGTACATTTATCAATTCCTGGAGACAGAATGCATCTGATGGAGATTTTATATTTATCGAAGTCTAGTTTTCTCCCATATTAAGGTGCAACATGATGACTCTCATTACAGCTGAACCGACACAGTAGCTGCGTTTACATGGACCCTTGTAATCGGATTGCAATCGGACTAAAAAACCTTCATGTAAACACCTTAATCGATCCGACTGAGCTCGATCCGACTAGAATTTCGATCGGATTGAAAGGGGTGGTTTACTCCTTTTGTAATCCGAGCGAGAGTTATTCGTTGTTATTCGTGCAGTGTGCGCATGTCAAAGAATCAATTCCGATTTGAATCTTGTGACATATAAACGCGCACATCAACCCGATCACTTTATATCATTCATGTAAACACCTTGATCGGATTCATCAATCGTATTTATTTCAATCCGATTGGGTCCATGTAAACGTAGCTACTAGAAGCAGGCCCTGGAGAACTAACCGAACCACAGACGGAGCCTCAGCTTTGGCCAAACCACAGGAAGGAGTTTATTATCCTCGTTCCTTCTGTGTCAAAGGCACATTGAAATCTACCGTAACACTCGAACAGAAGACGCCTACAGAGGACGGCAGGATCATAAAACACGCCGTTCTTCAAAAAGCACAGACGCACGTCATGTGTCACACCAGAACTGCAATATGGCAAAAGATAGAAAACTCCACAATAGTTTTAAAAAATCCAGTCCGTGTGTGTTCATATTCAATGCTCTCATCTTATACATTATAATAAATAGACCAAAAGTATCCCAATCTCCCTGACCAAACAGCTACAGGTCATCACTCCTCTGTTCTCTCCATTCGAGATGAGATTTAAACAGAAATAATTCAACAGAAAACCCTGAGTGTGTGTCCAGTCGGGGCTAGAACACATTCTCACCTTTTCTGTGACGTCGTGTCACTCAGTTCTAAAGTCACAGTGCAGGCTTGTGATTGGCTGTGATGTAACGAGGGCGTGGCGGAGCAGTGACGTCACTCTATATATGATCAGGTGATTCGTTAACGAGATGTTTTTACTGTGGGATCGTGTGTGTTGTGTTGTCCTGAGGTGTGTTCTGGGAAGGCAGAAGCGTCAGTGTGGTTCAGCGCGGGACGTCCCATTACACCGGCATCTCCGACGTGTCGAATCCCAGCGCCTGGGCTTCTTCTGGGGTCAAGCCCCCCTTCAGAGTCCGTCTCACTGAGACAAGAGACATCATGATCAGCTTTAATCAATCAGCTACAGGATCTGGTTATTAACCCTATAAACACACATTTAGGTTCAAATCGGACCATTTTCTCTCCTCCACATCATGTGTTTATTTCTTCAGCGGAAATGAAGGTTTCTGAGGAACACACTCTATATAGTGACTTCAATGGGGTCCAACGGGTCGAAGGTCATTTGTGAGTTTCAGTGAGTTTCAAAGACCAGCATTAGTGGTTAAAGTATATAAATGTGTGTTTTGTTGTGAATGTCACTGCTTTGTCTAGATCAGACTCTTATTCCTCGGCTGGATCGTGTCGAGACTTTGAAGCCGCACTGAAACTCACATCTGGACCTTCGACCCGTTGGACCCCATCCTGGAGTGTGTTCCTCAAAAACCTTCATTTCCACTGAAGAAAGAAACACGTGAACGTCGTCGAGGAGAGTAAACTATCAGGAGATTTCATTCTGAAGTGAACGACTCCTATAAGAGATTAACGTACGTGATTTTCGGTTAACGCGTGAGCGTCGTCGTTCGCGGGGTTGCGCTCGTTCTCTGGGACTCTGAGTCGCCGAACGCACGATCCGCTCCATGATGTCATCGGCAGCGTCGTCCGTCGCACACGGGGACTCTTCGTTCGCAGCGGCCAATACGGAGCGTCCTACAGAGAGAGAAACACACACACACACACACATGAGGATGCAGGTTCGTTTTATCTAGTGTGTTCTACATGTTAAAGGGATAGTTCACCTAAAAATGTTAATTAGCCCATGATTTACTCGCCCTCGAGCCATTCTAGGTGTGTGTGACATTCTTCGAACACACGAACACACTCAGAGTTATATTAAACATGTCCTGACTCTTCAGGGCTTTATAATGACAGTGAATGGCTGTTTCTGTTTAAAGTCATAAAAGTGCATCAATCCAATAACATTTTTGGGTGAACTATCCCTTTAATGCTGACGTGATTGTGTGTGTGTGTGTGTGTGTCTCACCTCTGCTGGCCCGTGTGCGCGTGCGTGTGCGCAGTGGAACCACAGTGGTGTCGCTGCTGTCGCTGCTCTGAACGCTGGTCTTCAGCACCGCCTTCATCTGCTCGTGTTCGGCTGTGTCTTCAGCGTGACACAAACCCTGCGGCTCCGCGTGCGTCCCGACAGGAGGAGCACTACTGCTCACACACACCCGACCCGCCTGGAAACACACACACACACAGTGACCATCACGGTCTCTACAAGAACATCTTTAGACGTGATTACAGCAGCCTAAACTTTTAGAGGATTCGTTTCCTGTCTGTAATATATAACAGGGTTTCCTAAACTGGGGTTCATAAGGTCATGAAAATAGTTCATAATAAAATCTTAAAAATGTCAAGCAAAAATAAATAAATAAATAAATAAAATCAATCAAAACAAAGCATAAAAAAGATAAAAACAATCAAAATAAAACAGTAAAATGACTAAAAATGTTAAAAATATTTTTTTTAATAAAAGCAATTAAAATAAAACACATAATAAAAAAATGTAAAAAAATATTAATAAAAACCATCAAAACAACAATAAAATAAACATTTTTAAAATAAATATAAATATATAAATAATCTTAAAATAAAAAACAATTTAAATAAATAATTTAAAAATAAAAATAACACTAAAATAATAAAATCGTAAATTTAAAATAAACACATATGGTTGAAATAAAAAAAAACAATTAAAATAAATGAATAATTTTAAATAATAAAAAAAATCCAAATAAAACACTAAAACATACAGTAATCTCAAGGCACATTAGTATTTTAGTATTACACACAAATAATGGTTTTAAGCCAGTTATTTATAGCTCTTATCAGTAAACACCAGTTTACATGTCGCCATTAACTGTAATAATCCAGTTCATCAGCCTGAGACTTACACTTACACACGACTGGATATTATATTTGTTTACCTGCATGTCATGTGACCATTAACTGTGAATGTGTTGATAAATAAGTATTCAACTTAAAATCTTAGTGTCACTTCAAGAAAATATTGCAGGTCAAATGGGTTTGGCTGACACCAAAAGTTTGGCTTTCTGATTGTTTCTGATGTAAAGAATCATTTTTTGCACAGATAGAATCTATATTCTAGACAACAGACAGAGATTCTGTCATAAACCTGAAACTCTCAAGTTAACACACACACACACCAGACCAAATCAAGACAAAAACACTGCTGAGCATTTCCAGGTTAGTAAATCTGTACGGGGTTATTCAGTGAGACTCAACCAGATGCTGTGAGCTTTAACAAACACCCAGTTATCAGACATCAGCGGTTAACATCTCTGCCAGAACACACACCTCATACCTCACTGTCTCTTCATCATCAGTCTGTGTGAGAGAGAGAAATGCAGGAATGAAGAGACGGCGTACAGTCTCTCTAGTAGTGTGTAATCAGAACACTGGCTCCCCCCACATGCCTGAAGATTTATCAGACATCAGCTCCACCCACATCATTCGAATAATCAAAACACTAGCCGCCGCACACATCACTGAATAATCAGACTCAAGCTCCGCCCACATCACTGAATGATCAGTGTCAGAGATATTGTGTGTGTGTGTGTGTGTCGTGGGG